GCCACTAGTCTTAGACCTTCATCTACCTCAACCCACAAGCCATATCGATCATCCTTTGTGGATTTAGGATGAATAGATGCCACCTCAGGTGTGACCTCGATAGTGGCTTCAGCACAACTTCCCTTTGTGCTAACTCTTGGACCTACAAATACAGTAAATTCCAATAAGGACTAAGATTTTAGAAACACAAGTCAAGTACCAATTTGTGGTTCAAAATGCATCTGATGGAGGACGAACATCACCAAATGAAGTACCCATGGAGGTCATACGCAGGAACTGCTCCTGCACACATGCAGTGATGGTCTCCTCAAGGCGTGCGCTGATGGCAGGAGTCAACTCTTCCTCCAATTTTGCCTTGATGGCTGGTGTCAATTTCTCTGTGAGAGTCATCTCCAAGGCAACAATATCTTCTTGGCTCAGGGATGTGGAGGTGCGGATATCCTGTGATGGTTGTCCAAAATATACAAGTGGGCGGTGCTCTTCGTATAGAATGAGTATTTGTTAATGTCATACCCTTGCCAAGTTATAACATTATATCTAGGACCATGTGCTAGCCATTTCAGTGTATTAGAGGCATTGTCACTTGAAAATATTTTGCTTTGAAACCAATTGATAAAGTTGTTGTTATGCTCTTTCATCAACCACCTTTCACCCATTTTGGGGTTTAGGTCCTTTAACATTGCTTTATGTGCATCTATGTAAGGAATAACCTCTTCTGTATTTTTCAAAATATACAAGTGGGCGGTGCTCAACTCTACATGATCTTTTGTTTGAATTCTAATACCACGAGTTCCCTTACCATTTAGCCTATCATCATGACGATTTCTAGGTACACCCACAGGTATGACTCTTGTCAAGTAATCTGTACAAAATTCTATGGCTTCTTCTGCAATATACCGCTCAACAATTGAAGTTTCAGGTCTGTATGGATTTTAAGAATACCCTTTGAAAATCTTCATGTATCGCTCAATTGGGTACATCCACCTCAAATAAACCGGCCCACAAATACGTATCTCCCTCACAACATGAACTATTAAGTGAATCATTATATCAAAGAATGATGGAGGAAAATACATCTCCAATTGACATAGCACAACCGCAGCCTCATTTTCTAACTCATCTAGTGATTTTTCATCGATAACCTTGGCACAAATAGATTTGAAGAAAAAAATAGTCGCATAATGGCATGTCTAACATTCTTAGGCAATATGTTACGTATAGCCACGGGTAACAACTGTTGCATCAAAACGTGACAATCATGGGACTTTAATCCTACTAACTTCAGATCTTTCATGGATACAAGACTCTTAATATTTGAAGAGTATCCTTGTGGCACTTTAATACTTTGAAGACAATGACATAAACTACTTTTCTCCTTCTTTGACAAGGTGTGACATGCTGGAGGTAGATATGTTATATTGCCTTCAGGCCTTGGATGTAATTCAGGACGTATTCCCATCTCACAAAGGTCTTGACGTGCTTTGATCCCATCCTTTGACTTTCCTTAAATGTTTAACAATGTGCCAATGAGACTATCACATACATTCTTCTCCACATGCATAACATCAATACAATGTCGTACTTCTAAATAGCTCCAATATGGAAGATCAAAGAAAATTGATCTCTTCTTCCACATGTTCTTGTCAGAAGACCTTTTTTGGGTCTTTCCAAATGTAATGCTTATGTTCTTCACTCAATCGTAAACTTGTAAACCAGTCAATGGTTCTCTGGCAATTTCATCCTCCTGTATGCCATTAAAAACTTTCTTCAGTCTACGGTATGGATGGTCATGCGAGAGAAATTTTTTGTGTCTGTTATAAATTGTCTTCTTTCCATGTTTTAATTGTAGATAACTGGTCTCTTCTTCACAAATAGGACAAGCATAATTCCCCTTCACACTATACCCACTCAAGTTTCCATAGGCAGGGAAGTCATTAAGGGTACAAAATAACATTGCATGCAACTTGAACTTCTGCTGCTGATACCCATCAAATGCATCTACTCCTTCCTTCCATAATAGTGTTAAGTCTTCTATCAAAGGACTCAAATACACATCTATGTCATTTCCTGGCTTTCTTGGACCTGCAATCATCATACACAACATGACATATTTGCGCTTCATGCATAACCATGGTGGAAGATTGTAAATCATCAATAAAACGGGCCATGAACTATGGTTACTACTTAAATTTTCAAAAGGATTCATCCCATCTGTTGCTAATCCAAGTCTAAGTTTTCTTGCATCACTACCAAAACTTGGAAATAGACGGTCAAAATTCTTTCATTGGGGAGAGTTAGATGGATGTCGCATTTGCCCATCACATGTTTTTCTCTTTGAATGCCAAATTAAATTTTCAGCATCTTCGTGAGCGTACAACCGCCTAAATCTTGGAATTATTGGAAGATACCATAAAACTTTTGCAGGAGGACATTTTTTATGACTCTCCTGACTACAATCATCACCATCCTTCGCTTTGTAACGTGATACACCACATGTTGGACATTGGTCTAAAGATGAGAATTCATTCCTGTATAACACACAATCATTAGGGCAAGCATGTATCTTCCTATATTCTAAACCCATCGGACAAAGTATCTTCTTCGCTTCATACATACGGTCCGGCAAGGTGTTATTGTCTGGGAGCATCTCCTTCAAAAGTTGGAGTAATTCATTAAAACTTGTATCACTCCAACCAAATTTTGCTTTTAGATTGACCAATTTTAACACAGATGACAACCGTGTGAAAGTTGTACATCCGGGATACAAAGGTGTCTCTGAATCGGTCCTCAATGTATCATATATAGATGCATGCGCTTCAAGAAAGCTCTCTTGACCCACATCACAAAGCATGTCCTCTATTCGATCTTCACAGGTTACATCATCCTCAATAGTTTGTGATACTGTTGGAATATCAACCACTCCACCGTGCCATGTCCATATGGTGTAATTCTTCATCATCCCATCGCAAATAAGATGTTCCCGCGTTGTGTCCATCTCTTGTACTCTGCCATTTACACAATTAATGCATGGGCAATAGATTTTTCCATTCATTTTGGGAGCATTTTTTTCGGCAAATTTCAAGAAGGAGTCAACTCCATTCTCATACTCTTCTGACATGCGACTTGCATTGACCCAAGTTCGATCCATCTAACTAAACAAAAGGGCTTGCCTAGATATTGAAGGTTTATTAGAAAAGGTTTAGCAAAACAATACAACAAACAAAGATAGCCCAAAAAACAGTCACAGTCAAACGTGTACATCTACATGAAAGAGTATATATGAGTTCGAAACCGAAAACAAACTTCCAAAACCTAGATCAAATCAAACCATACAAAATCATCCATCATCTTTCCACTGTTCATATGCAGGAAATGCTCTAAACAATCCATGTTTATGTTAAATGCATGCTGTAAATCATCCATACCACTTAATCTAACCTGATGAAAAGGGGTTTCCTTAGGGAAACGAGGGGTACCACGCACACGGCAACAACGGCGGTGCAACGACATGTAAGAGCGCGGCGAGGGGGCGGCGAGGGGGCAGCGATACCACGTCAAACAAGGAACGAAGAAGAAGCAGAGAACTGAGGTAGCTAAGAAGGAAGATGCAGGGCACTAAAATGTGGGTCGATACACACACGCAGATGAGGATTGAGGTAGCAGAGCACGAAGAAGAAGCAGAAGAAGAAGCAGAAGAACAACTGCGCGCTTTCGATTAGGTATGTTAGGACATTCGACGTTGGTTATTAAAAAACCCGACGTGGATAATGCTTTCGACGTCGGGTAAATTATGGAACCGACGTTGATTGTGGGATTTCAACGTCGGTTATACATAACCGACGTTAAATTTAAACATTTAACGTCGTCTCTTATCTAAACGACGTGATTTATCCATTTCTACGTCGGTTTTCTTATGACCGACGTTAAATATTGTTTCTTAATTACAAGTTTGCCACCGCGTCTTGTACAACGTCGATCTTCATAAAAACCGACATTGAATTGTGTCGTAGTATGTGTTTTCTGTAGTAGTGCTTCTATCAAAATTTTCTTTAGCAAGATCAAATATTTGAAAATGAGAATATCAAAATTTTATATGCAGTGTAACTACGAAGTATATATGTATATGTATATATGGTGATGTTGTTCGGCATTAAATCTTTATCAATCTTTTATCATACTTATCCTCTCTCCACTTTACGTGGCCGCCATCTAAAGCGGTCCCCTAGGGAGGGTCCAAACACTGTTCTTGTTAAAAAGGTTTCACTGTTCTCAACCATGCCTTCAAACATTCGTTACTTTAATACCAATTTACCAATTAGTATCATCAACCTTCACTAATAACTACATTTAACCCACACTACCACACACCTTCAACAAAGTCTTCCCTTTCTATTTGCTTCCAATTCTGCGCCCATCATTTCAACCCAATGTTTAAAAGCTTCGTGGCCACTTGTGATATATAGTGCCAATTTATATATATCTTGTTTCACTCCATAGCTATTCACGTAAATAAATTTATGTCGAGATCATAATAAATTAGGTAAAACTCTTTTTGAGATAACGATAATGACTTTGGGAGATAATGAGACATAAAGTAAATCTTGACTAAGATCCCAATTGGTTTTTACGTGATTAAATATTTCGTTCTTTGAGTAGTATTGCTTTATTATACTACCAGAACTTTTGGGCCACTTATTTAAGAAAAGGAATAATGCTCAATTCACACTCCAATATAATTATTTGACACCTTTAAGAACACATATAGATAATCGATTAACACCAAAGAAAAGACTAAAAAAGGAAGATAAGAAAGGAAGTTAACTAATGGGTATATATATATATATATTCATAGATCCCTCCCCATTATGTAAATTAAATTCGTATTTTGATAGTTGCATACTATAATTTTCATAAGCTTGAGTTGCAACTAATAGTTACAGAAGATTCATGAGTTTAATCTTATGAAAGAGAAATAATTGATAAGACTTGAGTTACAACTAATGATGACTGGTTACAACGCATGGGTCACAAGTCCACAATTGGAACGAGAGCATATCTTGCTGTACAATGATATGTATATTAAACATTTTAAATCACCTATTTTTGTTCAATAAAAGCAAAGAATTGAAGTTATGTATAACAAATTTCATTTTCATGATGAAACACCATAACTGAGATGTTGTTTTCGTTCCTTTCTTGTTTGTCTTTTTTTGCCTTACCTTCTTTTGCAGGCATGCATGCATTTCAAAAAATGAACTTAAAAAAGGTCAGAAAATAGCTATTTCTTTGAAAATGACACATTATGAAAAGGGTGGATTTGCCTAAAATCATCAGACAGAATGGTTTAATAGTAAACGGTTAACTAGATGGAAACTAATATAAAAACACACATTGACGTAAAAAATGAATGTTCTTCCTTCCCCTAGTTGAATCCGTCGGTGCAGTTATAGAGCGGTGGCCATGACCGTGAAGCAAGGGCCACACTGCATATAAATGCAATGTGATTCTAGGTTAAGTGCAAGCATCGCACACTTGTGATTCTCATTTTGAATGGAGTTGTGAATGGGATGACTGAAAAGTGGTTGACTAGTAAAAAAGTAATCCTATAACACTTGTGATTTTGTTAAAACAGGAACTGGGATGAGTAACATTGAAGTCCTTGTTGATAATGGGAAGGTTGCGGAGATTAGTGGAGAGTGGAAGCCACAAAAAGAGTCAAAAGCAAGTGATTGGAGGTGTGACCATTGGTGGGAATATGGATATGTTCGAAGGTTAGAGGTCCCAAAAGATGCAGAGAACAATGAATATGTGCAACTAGGAAGAATTTCACATAAAACTATGATATCATTTTCTTAATCTACATAAAATAATTGACTTAGCTAGTATTGGAATTAATACTAAATAGTAAATGTATTTGTTGTACCATATTAAATGAGTTATTTGATATAATTATATATTTTTATTTTTATTTTTTCATCTGAAAGATAAATTTGTACATTTCCTCTCACATGTTTTCTAAGATTTTATCAGAAGACTTGAAAACAAACTAAAAAAAGAGATGAAGATGAACTAAAGGCTTGAGGATTCAGAGGCTAAAGTTTGGAAGTGAATAAAAGGGTACCAGCGCCACAGGGGACCTACAAAGAGAGAGAGAGAGCACTAGCTAGTGGAGTTACAAGTAATGAGGCTGCAATTTATAGCTAGATGACGTGTTCCCACTGTACCCCTTTGTGAACTAAGGCTTTGCCATGTCTTCAATTCATTAGTAGCCGCCCACATGATAAACTTGGTCATTGATTAGAGTAATAGCTGGTTGGGTAGTCACAACAACTCTTGCTACAATATGAACAAGTTTGGTTTTCTGTCCACTTTATGCTTCTCTTCGGACCTTACTTTTAATACATACCAATCTCCAGCTACATTATTTTCCTATTAAACTTGCTTAACTATATAATAATGTGCATATAAAACATCTCTCTACACTCGCATCCAAGGTCCAATCATGGAAGAAATTCAGATGCATAACTTAACTTCAAGGCACAGTATTTGGTTCTTATTATTTATATCTATCTTATATAGACAATTAACTATAGATGAAACTTAATCACATATATTGATTAAAATCAAACATCTCAAAATTCAAATCACAGGATAACATTCAAAATGAAGAAGAGATTATCGTGAGAAAACGTGAGCGGCAATGACAATGCGTGCGGAAGCGACGCGGGATAGTAGCGAAAGCACCGCGGGGTAGCAGTGACATTGGCGAGGGAGCGGGCAGCAGGAGCAAGAACGACACGGTAGCAGAAGTAAGAACGGCGCAGGAGCGAGAGTGGCAAGAACGACACGGTAGCAGAAGTAAGAACGGCGCAGGAGCGAGAGTGGCAGCGGGAGCGAGAGCGGCAGGAAGTGGCAGCGGGAGCGAGAGCGGCAGGAAGTGGCAGCACGAGCGAGAGCGGCAGGAGTGACAGTGGGAGCGGCAAGGAGCGACAACAGGAGTGGCGCAGGAGCGAGAGTGGCTGCAATGGTAGTCAGCTAGGTTTTACTGGAAAAGGATGTATGAAGAAGAATGGAAAAAAAGATTAATTAAGATTTTTATTAAAAGAATTATAAAAAAAGATAAAATAGTATTTCTGAATATAATACTTTTTTTATTTCTTATAAGGAATAGTTTCTAAAAAAATTATAAAGAAATATTATTTATAAAATTTTCTATTAATTTAAATATTATTAAATACTTCCAACAAATTTAAATTTATAAAAAACTTACAGAAAATAATTTTAAATATTTATCAATTTTTTAGATATTCTTTCAAAAAATTATAATTATTTCCAAATAATTTATTTTAGATACAAAAATAATTTATATATATAATTATATATTTATAGTAAATTTGGTAAAAATAATTTTTTTAAGGAAAAATTGTAATTAATTTTTATTGATATTTTTTCAAAAAGTTCAAAAATTATTTTTTATAATGACATATTTTTAGAGAAATTTACAAGTTTTTTTTTAAATAATTTTTTATAAGGTTAAAATAATTTACACTACTAGAAAAAATTATTTTAGCGATCGAAAAAATCGGTGTAATCAGTTAGCGATCGAAATTAGCAACCGAAGGCGTCGTCGCAAAAAGCCAAGTCGCTAATATGTTAGCGACCAATTTTCATTTCGGTCGCAAAATAGCGATCGATTTTATTTCTGGTCGCAAAATAGCAAACGAAATTAATATATTAAATTGGTCGCTAAATCGGTGGCAAAGTTAAAAAAATAGCGACCGATTTAAATCAATCGTTAAATCAATGACAAAGTTAAAAAAATAGCAACCGATTTATATCGGTCGCTAAATCAATGAATAAATTAATAAAATAGTGACTAAAATATAATGGTATATTAGTATAGTATAGTATATTTGTATTCTAATTTTTAATTAAACTAAAATTACGCTAATAATGTATAATAATATATGAGGGGATAATAAATTTAATCCAATTACTTATATATATATATATATATATATATATATATATATATATATATATATATATATATATATATATCCATTTTGAACTTTTTTTTTCTTTTTAAACTTCTCACATTCTACATTGTTTTTAAACTCTATCATTTTTACTATAATATCATCCTCATTTCCTCCCCTATTCTATTTTATCTTTATAATAATTAGTCTTCTTTTATAGAATACTTTATTTTCTATTTTTATTATTTATTTTCTTATAATTTAAAATAATTAATATTATTTTTTAACATTTATTTTTATGATTTTTACTATAATAAATCAAATTAAATGGTTTGATGATATCAATTAATTAAAATCATCACATAAAAAACTTAGATAACTACATTAAAATTATTAATTTTAAAAATATAAAATAAATTTAAAAAAAAAACTCAAATTATAGATTGGAAATAAAATAGAATAAACAAATACTCTTTACTTTATATTATATTTAAGTGTGTGCATAAATGTTGACCTTCTTAACTATAAAGAAGTAGAAAAATATAAAGATAGTATTTGAAGAAGTGAATTTTGAAAATAAAGGCTATTTTTATATAAATTTATTCTAGTATATCAATTAACAATAATAATACATAAAATTTTAAAACTAAACTAAAGAAAGTAAGTTTAAATTTATAAAAAAATACATTACTAAAAGTATCATATTATATTAAGATTTTCATTATTTTCGTTAATTATAAATTTAAATGTGTTTCATAAATAAAATTATAAATTTAAATGTATTTCCACTTTTGATCCACCATAAATAAAAATAAATAGTCTTTTATAAATGTTTTTCTATTTTAATCCATCATTAAATTTGTTTTATATACGAATTTGATGACTTATCATATTATTAACAATTTGGATGAAATATTTATGTATAATAATTTTTTAGTATATTCTGTTTTTAAATTTGCTAATAGAGAAAAAGTTTCATAATTCAAAATGTTAAATACTTTTAAATATTAAAATTAACTTTATAAAAAATTAGGAAAAAAACAATTAATCCAAAAATATAATAATGATAAAAATATTATAAAAAAGAATTCAAAAATGTATTTAATATTTTCAGTTTTAGTTTAATTATATTTTTAATTCTCAAAGTAGAAAAATATATTGTAATTATTTTAATTTAATAAAATATAATTTAAATTTTAATACTAAAATTAAAATATTAAATAATAATAAATTTAATTCTTTAAATTTAGTATTTAAAAACTAAAATTATAGTTTCTCTATTTTAAAAAATTAAAATAAATATTTAAAAATAAAAATAAAAACTAGTATTATCTTAAATTTATTAAAAATATAATTAAATCTCTATTTTCTTATGCAATTTTAGAAATTTTTTAATAAAAATCCAATATATAAAAAAGTTGAAATTTTAAAAAGGTACAACCTTAATTTATATTAACTATTTTTTTGAAAAAACTGATAAGAAAAACTTGATTTTGAAAAAAAAAGTTGATAATTTTAAAGTTATTTAAGTGATGAAGTTTCCAAATGTGATCTATAAATTTATTAAGCAAAATTGGAGGTATGTTGAATATAAATTTAAATATATTTTTAATTTATTTAAATATGGTTTATTTTTAGTATTTATAAAATAGATTAATTTTAAATTTTTTACTTTTCTAGTAGTCTATTTTTAATCTTTATTATTAATTATGTTAAAAATGAAAAATATTAATTAGTATACTTAAACTAAAAAATATTTGAACTAAAGATAAATATATTTTTATTAATAATTTAATTAAATAATATATTTATTATCTAATGTATATTGATATAATTTTTTTTTGGTATATCAATTATAACAACAACCATGCTTAAGTAATTAATAATAATAAAGTAATAAATTTAAAAATTAGATTAAAAATAAAGTATTATAAAATAAAATTGTAATAATTTGATTAAAATTGTAATTTTTTAATTAAGTTAATTAGGAATTAAAATGTGATAATTTGATGTGTTTAATTTTTTAATATAAATTTTTAAAATATAATTTAATTTCAATTGAAATTTTCAATTGAAAAATAAATTAAAGAATATTTGTTATTAAATTTTTCTTAAATAATGCATTGAATAGTTAATATTACTCTAGTCTTAATTTATTACAATTTAAATTTTTAATAAATTTCATTTATTTTTAATAATATTTTTATTTTAGTAATTTAAAATTAAAGTTAATCTTCATTTTATTAATATTGAGACCAAAGTTTATTTTTAAAGTATATTTTAAAAATTAAATTATTTTTCAAAAATAAATTACTTTTAAAAAATAAATTGTAAAAGATATACTAAAACAATTAAAGTATATTTATAAAAAAATAAATTTAAATATAATAAAAAAATAATATTCATTAGCTGATCGATTTCAATTCGGTCACTATTTCAATTTGTAATTCGATCGCTAAATCAGTCGCTAAATGATTTTTTATTTTAGTATGGAATAATCATCGATTTAGCGACCGAAATTTGCAACGCAAACTATTGGTTGCTATTTCGGTCTCTAAATAAAAAAGTGAAACCAAATCATATTTCGGTGGCTAAATCGGTCACTAAATTGCGACCGAATTAACTCGGTCGCTAATTGCGACTGAATTAAAGAGGTCGCTAAATCGGTTGCTAATTGCGACCGAATTAAATCAGTCGCTAAATCAGTTGTTAATTGCAACCAAAATTAAATCGGTCGCTAATTGCGACCGAAAAAATTCGATCGCTAATTTCGGTCGCTAAATGTGTTTTTTCTTGTAGTGTTATAAGAATGGTTCCCAATAATTTAATGTTTTTTTCAATTTGATATTTGCTATAAATTTGCTACAGTTTAGCTAT